ATCACCCTGTATATAAAAGGCTCTATTTTTTTAGCTAGCTACGCTAAACGTGATCTGCTAAGCGTAAATTTATTATTTTACGCCCTTGCAACACGAAAACGATAATAATGCCCGCGTGTAGCGTCACACTAAGTTAAGTACCTTTTCAATCGTAGATCATGTAAATAGATTTATTTTCTAAACACATTTTTCCCGTGTTTTACAAAAATGTTATTAAATGTTGCTCACATTAAGTCAATTTGTAAATGTAAAATACGTAAAGATTTTCTCTGTAAAAATGATCAACTTGATAGAATATTATATAGATATGTAATAAAAATAAATTTACTTACGCTTCATTTGCAAATGCTCACATGCGTTACGAACGTTTAACAAGAACTAATCGAGTAGTGAGCAAATAGTTAGTCTGACCTTCTTAACAGCTGTACATCACTGCAGTATGATGTTCTAGCAACCGCGATAGTTTGTGACACATTGAAATTAATTGACAAAGTGAACAAGTGAAGTGACAATGGTATTGTATCGATCACACGTGCAACTGGAATATATGTATACCTACTTCTGTCATACGATTGCATCAGTAACAATGAGTTATATTATGTAAATCGTAATATAAATAGCTCTAGTTAAACGTTTTATAAAATAAAGAATATTTTTGAGCATCCCACCAGTGTTAATACTTTAACAGACCAATACTACTTATATCGTATTATGACAGTGTACCTACAAATATCATGGTTTAACTAATCTTAGAAAATTTCCACTGGACTATCTTATTAATTTTAATCTACATAAAAAATATGTTTATCTTAACATTTTATCTACATACCTAACTAGGTATGTTATTATTATTTATTTACACATATAGAATTTTATGCGCCTAAATTAATTATTATTATGTATAACTTGCTACAAAATTGAACTATAGTAAAAAACCCACATACATACAAACATCGATAATGTTCTTACCGTCAAGTTTCATGATTGGTCGATTCAATCTAATTTTTAAACTAATAAATAATAAACTAATTAAAATAATAGACAAAAAAAATTTAAACTTAGGAAAAATTCGTATAGAGCTGAAAATTGGTATACACCTTAGGTACATCACTACAAATGAATTGTTAAAAGTCCCCATCAACCACCACTGCTACAAATTTAATTTTCGGTCAAAGGTCAAAAAATAGGGTTTTCACAAATATCTCCTCTTAAACCTTCAGTATTTTTATAAAAATAGCTATTACATAATTTGTAAATCAAGTAATTATCTAAAATAAAGGGTCGCTGTAAATTGCGTCCCGTTTCAAATTTTTTATGTAAATTGCGGACCGGGTATATTTTAGACATACGTAAATTGCGGCCCCGGTATATTATATACATACGTAAATTGCGGCCCCGGTATATTATATACATACGTAAATTGCGGCCCCGGTATATTTTAATATATTTGCCTACTTAAACATTCGTCATTGTTATGTAAATTACATTAAGGGTTATGAAATCAATATTTTCCTTCCCATTTTTCAGACTTAGGACTGGCAATATAATTGTATTCATATTGGTATGGTTAAAAATATTGGTTTTGCTGTTTTGTTTATAATTA